AAGGATCGATCCCCGCCGCCGTCGGTTCGCAACGGTTCGAGCCGGCGACACAATCGAGACACGTTTCGCGGCGGATCTGCGCAGTGGAGAAGAGAGAGAGAGCTTCGGCGAGGAGAGAGAAAGTGAACGCCGGTAAGACGCAAGACGTCACGCGTCGTGGAAAGATCGAGGCGGGTACCAGCGAGGAGAGGCGACGTGAGATCGACGGTTTGAATGGCGGTTTGAAGCTGGCGAGTTGACTCGGTCAACTAGGCCGAGTCAACTCGGTCGAGTCAACTCGTTGACCGAGTCGATTCGTTCGATTTTTTTTTTTTTGGGTGTTTCAACGGTTTGACGGCTCGATGACTTGGTGACAACGCTAGCTTCGTGGAGTGAGACTGACTCAAACCGTTGCTCTTTGGTACAACGAAGAAGTGGATCCAAAAGAATGGTTTCCAACTCTATGGACTCGCGGCTCGACAGTTCACGCGACTTAGATGATTCCGGAGATATGGTTTTTGATCCTTTGCTTCTCGGAAGGAAAATGGTTCTTTCTCTAGAGTCTGACACTGGCAGTTCGGCGAAATCGGCCTCCTCCAATGCTCTAGTTGTGGTGGAAAAGGTTAGCGATGAGATCGTGGTTATGCCGCCTTCCAAGAGGCGGAGCTCGAAGCGGAGAGGACCTGACCCGCCATGATCTACCATGTCAACTTCGAAGTCTTTGGATTCCCTTACTGCTTGCTTTGGTGTTCCCGATGGGGTTGAGCTAGTTGTTCCTTGTTCAGATGCGCGAGCGGATCATCCTCCAGAGGGCTACTTTACTTTGTACGAAGCTTACTTTTACGCGTGCTTCCTGTGGTTCCCGATTCCTGCTGCGATTCTCGACTTTTTGTGGAGGACCAATCTTGCTATTGCACAGATCACGCCTCTCGGCATGCGCCACTTGGTTGGGATTATGGTGCGCAGCTACGAATGTGACAGCGAAGTCGTAGTCGATCACTTGCTGAGTCTCCTGAAGGTTAGAAAGACTGGCTCCAAGGGCAAACTTCTCTATTTCCTTAATGCCAAAACGAATCTCCAAGTCATTGGAGATTTTTCCAACACAGATCGTTTTTGGTCGGAAAAGTTTTCCTTTGTGAAAATCAATGAAGCTTCCGTCGGCCGCGTTCATCTAGACATGCTTCGAGAAAGATGGGGGACTCGCGGTAGTCGACCCTGCCGCGCCACTATTTTTTAGCTTAGAATTTGACATTCATTGCCGTTTCTTTGTGATTCTTGCTTGTTAAAGTATTCACTTTTCAATGCTAACCCTCTTATCCTCTTGCTTACTGTTTTGCAGTTTTGAACCGCATTGCAAAGTTGCCGATAGACTTGTTTGTTCTCCGTGACGACCTAGCTGCTGAGAAGTGTAGCTGGAGGGACGACTTTTCTTTACACAGGGTCAGAGAAGCTCTTGTCCGTCGCTTCGGAGCTACTTTGTTGAATTCTTCACCAGAGATGTCGGACAACGCAAGAAAACCATCAGCTCGCGAGAGGAGAGCCATGGAGGCCGGACTGGAGTCTAACGCGAGGGTGTCGGAGCGAGCAAGGTTGTTGGCGTTGGTTCCTAGAGTTGGTACGACTACTACCTCTGCGTCTAAGCCGCGTCGCCCGGCGTTAGAGCGAAATGTTACTGCTGCCGTCGATCGTCGATCTGAGTCATCGCCGCGGCATCATGACGACGCGAGGAGGAGAGATGATGGCGTGGAGGCAAGTCGTAAGCGTCCTGGCAAAGGCAAGGAGAAAGGTGCTGCTGATGGTGATGGCCAGAGCAGATCGAGGCGCAATTCGAATCCTCGATGTGATCGTACCGGGGCGACTTTGACTATTCCTTTTGGTGATGCTGCGACGGCAACATCGAATCTGTCCAAGATCGTCTTTCCCAGCACTGAGTTTCCGCCTCCAAGAGATATGTCGAAGGAAGATTCTTACTCAACTATGGCTCTTCATTGTATGACGGTAAGACTTCACGACTTTAGTGTAAGATAGTGATTTTCCTTCTTCCTTATTGCTATTTTTTTTCTAACTTTTTTTTTGTTTTTGCAGTTCCTTTCGTCGTTCAACAAGCTCGCCATTGACTACGAAGTGATAGTTCGCTCGCAGAATCGCCTGGTTAGTAATGTTCAGAAGGCTTGCGACAACCATAAAAAGCAGAAAAGGGATGCAGAGGATCGCGTTGCTACTCTCGAAGCTGCTATGAAGGAAATCGAGGAAAGGAGTCGCGAGATGGATGGGACGTTCACACAGTCTGAATCTGAGAGGATGCGTCTTCAGAAGGAAGTCTCTGACCTTACCACCCACTTAGATGTTGCTTCCGAGCTTCAAGATGCGGCTGTAGAGCGGGCTGTCGACGAAGCGAAGCACGAACTGGAGGCGAAGTATGAGGCGAGGGTCATATGTGCTAGAGACAAGATCGGACCGATCAATGGTCAGCCGAAGATTGACATAATTGATCTTGCTGAAGTTCGGAGTAACATTGAGTTCGTGAAGTTGCTTCAGAGTGACAAGGCACCTAATCTTGGCGATGAGCTCGTTACTCTCAAGAAGTAGGAGGCGGGCCTGGTACTTGCTGATAAGGTGTTTGCCAATCATGTGCACGAACTCGAGGATATTCTTAAGCCTTCTCCCATTAGTACCATCGAAGATCGAACTAATGAATTGTATGCCGCTTCGGATTTGAATTCTTCTGACTCGTTGAGCGATGGTAATTCGTCGAACAGCGCGGCCGAGGGTCATTCTGAGCGGGCCGTTGAGATTGTTGATGACGCTAAGGAGATTGCGTCTTAGTTTTTCGTTTTGACGGTGTTTATCCTTTTGTTTTGATTTCAGACTTAGTATTTGATTCAGCTTGGATGGTGTTTATCCTTTTGTTTTGATTTATATCATTTCTGAGATAAAATTTATGAAAGCAGCTTTTATGATTCTTGTTCTTGTCTTTTGGATGAATTGTTTCGTTGCAAAGTTTTTAGTTCTGGACACCGTTGCGCTAATGAGCATGGCTGCATACTGATAAGTGGAGTGTCTCGTTGATGTTTACTGTTCTTGATGCAAGTATGGTTTACTGGCGAGTCGTCATTAACAAGCCTTCTCTAACTATGCTGATTTACGTTCAGACGATGGTTGCCCCGATTTACATGCATGGTGTCGTTGATTCGTCCGCTCCCAAATATTGATTATAATGTTGTTGCGACTGGTGATAAGTTAACCGGGTTTTCTGATGATCATCTTGGTTCACGGGTGAGTCTTTAATGAAACGCGCACTCCAAAAATGAACATGTTATCTCGTGATGACCAACGATAGAGTTGTTGGGTTTTTTAGTGATCATTTCGGTTTGCGGTCGTGTTTTTCGTTAACATAGCCGCTCCTATAATGAAAACTTTTAGATGATACCAGCGATTTGTTTGCTAGGTTTAGTGATCGTGAACGCATCTACTCCGGTAATAAACATAAACATTTGTATAGCGCGCTTTGTAATCCTGCTAAGGATGTAGTAGTCAGATCTGAAGTAAGTATTAAAGTTTGTTACTGTGGCNATCAGTAATGAAAGAAGAAATCGGATGTCTGTTTTGTTAAGACTTTGTTCGTAAAAGACGTAGGAGAAAAGTTTGTAAAACACTTGTAAGTTTTATTGCTTAC